AAATACTCAAAAAATTATTATTAATAATTAATGAGTATTCTCATACTTTTCATCAGTCATTATATTTTAAAACCTTTAAAAAAATAGTTAATTCTAATAGAATACATGCTAAGGAATCTTTTTTATTATAAAACTTTTTTGATTTTATATGTTCAAAAAAAAAGTTAAAGCATATTTTTTACATTCTTGATAAAAACGACAAAAAAAACGCACCACCACTTTGGCGGATCGACATGGATTATAGACGAACTGACATAACAATATGTCTGTTTATTTACCATTTGTAGCACAGTATAGAGTGAAAATCAGGTGATCAACGATTAGCGTATATTGTATTACCGGCAGTACACCTAATCCAATTCATTAATATTTATTGCAGGGTTGGCATTTTAGCCAATTTTAAAAAATATTTGGCCAGATCAGCGGCCAAAATTTACAAATATAGTAATTTAATTTCCTTTTTTGGTATTTTTGGCCGATGACCATCGGCCAAAATGCCAATCCTGAAAATTTATTGTGTTAAAAACAGCATTGTGGACAAAAAGTTCACGAATGAAACTGAAACTTCAAAACTTGTAAAATAATGCATGTACGTATTTGTGTCATATAAAAGAATTCATAGCGAACAAGTTAACATAAAAGGTCGTTCTACTAACCTTTTATAATTCATGTATATTCTTTCTGATCAACCCGAAACCGAACCGAAAATTCATAGTAATAAATTACACGGAGCATTTCCGCCGATCGTATTACATGTATATACATCTTTCAATGACGATAAATCAATTCTTGCAATACATTCACTCACTCATCCATTACAATGGGAAATAGCGCTCGTTCACTATTTTTTGTCCTGACGCTTCTTACGTTGATTGGACTGTTGCTGGCATACTACAGATATCTCTCTTTAAATGCTAACACTGTGCCAATAAAAGAAGATAATGCAGTTCCTGCTCCCACCTCGTATGACCCAGTCGACTTGCAAAAACCATATGAAACAGTCGTATTGTCCAACAAATCAACCGGTGACGCGCCTATGCCGACGTCGACCAAGCCAAGTCCCTCACCTAGTGGACCTCCGAAAATTCCAGAAATCTATCAATCGCCAATACCACAAAAAGCCCACATGCCCTGTAATTCATACCACGAATTGAATGGCATAACATTTGAGCAGTTGTGGGAATACCCACCTATATCATTATTCATTGGGATATTTACCATCCCATACAACTTCGAGAGACGCCAACTAGTCCGCACCCTATATAGAGTGCAGCAAAAGAATATTAAAGACGATTTGGTGGACTTTCGATTCATTATTGGAAAACCTAAAAAAGAGGATGACTCGCCAAATCTCAGACTTCGTTTAAAGCTTGAACAACAAGCCTATGGAGACTTGGTGATGTTGGATGTCGAGGATGGCTTTAGTAATGGGAGGAAGTCGTATAGATATTGGAAGTGGGTTGCAAACACCTATACGTCAAGTCCGGAGAGCCAGTATCTCTTATTTGCCAAAGCTGATGACGATGAGTATATCAATTTCCAGAATCTTGCGTTGAACTTGAGACCGCTGGAACGGTCATACCTGTA